CCCCCAGGGAGGCCCCATCCCCGAAGTGCCAACCTCCCCTGCCCTCTTTCCAGCTCATCCTGTTCGGGCTCAGCAATCAGCTAGCAGTGACATTCCGAGAAGAAAACACCATCGCCTTCCGACACCTCTTCCTGCTGGGCTACTCAGATGGGGCAGATGACACCTTTGCCGCCTACACGCGGGAGCAGCTCTACCAAGCCATCTTCCACGCCGTGGACCAGGTGCGGCTGGGCATGTGCAGGTGGGCATGGGGCAGGGTGTGGGCAGAGCTGATAGCCCTCCCCTGCTCTCCCCACAGTACCTGACGCTGCCTGATGTGTCGCTGGGCCGGTACGCCTATGTCCGGGGCGGGGGTGGCCCTTGGGCCAACGGCTCGGCTCTGGCTCTCTGCCAGCGGTACTACCGCCATGGCCATGTGGACCCAGCCAATGATACCTTTGACATTGACCCGATGGTGGTCACTGGTGAGTGGACAGGGCGGGGCTTAGCTGTTCAGAGCTTAAAATCACAAGCTGTGACTGTCACTCATCCGTGAGATGGGGTTGTCGTGATCATTAATAGTTTGATGTCTGCTTAGTTTGATGCTTGCCGTGCAGAAGGTGCCAGGCATTATTTCTTAATAGCATTCATTCACTGAGCATTTGGGGCGCCCATGGAGTGCCAGGCCCTAGGGTCTCTACAGGGAATGAGACAGACCAGGCCCTGCGATGGGAAAAAAGGGCAAATATTTAAGCACGAAGTGGGAAGTGAAGGAGGGAAGAAGGCCGCTGGGGACTCCGGGGAGACCAGCCTGGCCTCCCCTGCCCCCTGAGGCCCTTCCCTGACTCCCTGTCCTCAGAGTGCATCCTGGTGGACCCCCCCGAGCGACCCCCCCCACCCCCCAGTGATGATCTCACCCTCTTGGATGGCAGCTCCAGTTACAAGAACCTCACGCTCAAATTCCACAAGTACTGCCTGCTTGCTCCAGGGAGCCCCTGGGGAGCGGGGAGGAGGGCAGGGTGCCAGGCATTGTCACCCCTGGTAGCCACTTCCCTACAGGCAGGGGAAGGGGCCCCGCCACACTGGCACCTGCTGTGTCAGCACTTCCCCTGCCAGCTGCAGAGTCAGCTTGGGGCTGGGGCCCTGGAACCCCGGGGCTGGGAGGGAACCTCCAGAGCCCCCTGCCCCTCACCTGAGCGTCCGCCGTAGGCTGATCAACGTCACCATCCGCTTCCAGCTGAAGACCATCAACCTGCAAAGCCTCATCAACAACGAGATCCCAGACTGCTACACCTTCAGCGTCCTGGTGAGGACCCCTAGGACATCTGGGGAACACTGGCCGAGGGCACGTGTTGGGGGAGCAATGGGCGAAGCCTGGCTGGTGCAGGACAGGCCATCTGTCACACGGGTCTGGAGACTTGGAACTGCCGAGGTTTACTGTGCCCTCTCCTGCCCCCCTAGATCATATTTGACAATAAAGCACACAGTGGGCGTGTCCCCATCAGCCTGGAGACCCAGGCCCACATCCAGGAGTGTAAGCACCCCAGTGTCTTCAGGCATGGTGAGCCCCCGAGCCCCAGTCCCGGGTCCTGACTCGCCCCGAGTTAGCCCTGAGCCCACTGATCAGTTAGAACCAGGCTGGTCACCCAGGGCTCCATGCCACTCTTGTCCCTCCCCACAGGAGACAACAGCTTCCGGCTCCTGTTTGACATGGTCGTCATCCTCACCTGCTCGTTGTCTTTCCTGCTGTGTGCGCGCTCGCTGCTGCGCGGCTTCCTGCTGCAGAACGTGAGGGCCCAGTGTCACGTGTGCCACCAGTGCCCACCTCGCCCGGCTCTGGGGTGACAAAGGCCGGGGGCTTCAAGGGTCCCGTGGCCACGCGGGCCCTCACCTCTCTTTCCTCCTGCAGGAGTTCGTTGGGTTCATGTGGCGGCATCGGGGACGGGTGATCAGCCTGTGGGAGCGGCTGGAATTCGTCAACGGCTGGTACATCCTGCTGGTCACCAGCGATGTGCTCACCATCTCGGGCACCATCATGAAGATTGGCATCGAGGCCAAGGTGAGTCCTGCCCACTCCCTGCCCTGGCCCCTCTGCTCCCTCGTGGGGCCATGTCCTCCCTGCCCGATGGGGTGACGATGCTCCTGTCCCCAGAACCTGGCGAGCTACGACGTCTGCAGCATCCTCCTGGGCACCTCGACGCTGCTCGTCTGGGTCGGCGTCATCCGCTATCTGACCTTCTTCCACAAGTACAACGTGAGTCTCGCCACGCAGACAGGGCCTGGGCCAGGATGTGTCAGGCTCTCCACGAGCCACCCCACGTCCCCCCCAAAATCAACCCGTACGTACAGCACTCACCAGCCACTGCCGACAGCCTGTTGCAGGCCTCTTCCTCATACCTGCCCACCCAGACAGACCTGTCGCTGCACCTGGGCAGGGCCAGGAGAGCCTTACCATCTGTACCCATACAGCCAAGTCCAGCCACTGGGTATCCTCAGACCCCCTGGGGACAGTCCTGCCCCTTTGAAGCTCCCAGCGGCTCCTGTGGCCACACCTACTGTGCCCTCAGCGATGCTTTGCCTGCTTCACACCTGACCGGGGCTGTGGCCACGCCCTCAGTGTGACCCCCTCTGTCCCGCCACAGATTCTCATTGCCACACTGCGGGTGGCCCTGCCTAGTGTCATGCGCTTCTGCTGCTGTGTGGCCGTCATCTACCTGGGCTATTGCTTCTGTGGCTGGATCGTGTTGGGGCCCTATCACGTGAAGGTAGGGGCCGCCGGGGCTGGGGGTGCTCACGGTCTGCGGTGGGAGGGTCCCTGGCTCCCTAAGCCCTCGGACCCCTGGGTCTCTCCAGACTCTACCACACTGAGCCAGACCCACCTCAATGCCTGGGGCCTGACCAGCAGGTCTGGAGCAGTTTTGCCATCTGACCCTGACATTGACCCTGTGACTTTGTCATTGACACCATGACCCCCAGACGACCATTGTGACTGGTGGTACTCTAACACTCGATAACCCTGACATTGACCCTACGACCTTGTTATTGACACAGTGACCTCTAGATGACCCTGTGGTGACTGTTGGTACTCTGTACACTGTCCCCTTTGGCCTTTGGTGACCCTGACATTGACCCTGTGACTTTATATCATTGTCTCAGTTGCTGATGGCCCTCTCTTGACCTGAGTTACTCTACCTACAGCTCTATCTCCCTAGACCTATAGGTCTGCCCTATGTCATTGACCCTGGCACCTCACCATTGCCATGGTGTCCCTCAGCTGGCCCCATCATGGCTGCTGACCCGCAGGGGCCCTGCCCTGGCCACAGTCCCCAGCCGCGCCCACAGCTCCCTCCGACTCCTCTGCCCCGCCGCAGTTCCGCTCGCTGTCCATGGTGTCGGAGTGCCTGTTCTCGCTCATCAACGGGGACGACATGTTCGTGACATTCGCGGCGATGCAGGCACAGCAGGGCCGCAGCAGCCTGGTCTGGCTCTTCTCCCAGCTCTACCTCTACTCCTTCATCAGCCTCTTCATCTACATGGTGCTCAGCCTGTTCATCGCGCTCATCACTGGTGCCTACGACACCATCAAGGTCAGCTAGTGGCACCACACGCCCCTCCCGCCTGTCTGCACTGGGCTCCCACATGCATGCACGCGCGGCCCCGAGCTCGGGCTCCAGGTCCCTTGGCATCAGCCACGAGGGGGTCTTCGGGACACAGCAGGGCTAGCAGGGAAGACCCAGGGAGAGAATATGGGAGACCCGCAAAACCAAAAAGAGTGTGACCTGGAACAGTCGATTTCCTGCCGCCTGCAATGCTCAGGGGAGAGAAAGGAGACAGAGTGGGACATGGGGGTCACAGGGAGACAGGACTCTTTGAGCAAACAAAACCCAGTACCAGGATCTGTGCTGGGCTCTGGGCATCCGGGGAAATTGGGTGTACGTGGTCTGTCCAAAGCCAGTGGGCAAGATGGATGATATAGGAATGGACATCCCATGACCAATGACTGACTGGCGAGAGGTTTGAAGGAAGAGTGGAAGGTTACAGAGGGACCCCTGCTTTAGACTGGTATTAGGATGGGTCCAGGAAAGTTTCTGGAATGTTCTGTCCATTACTAAATTCTAGACACACGGGACTATTTACATTTTGATTTTAATTCAGATGAAATATAATTCCAAATTCAGTTCCTAACTTGCACCATCCACGTATCAAGGGCACGAAAGCCAGTGTGGCTAATGGCTACCCCATTGGACAGCAGAGAGTTCTAGATTGAAGAGATGGGAGCCCAAGGGAAGGAACACCCAAGGCAAAGTCCTGGAAAGGACTTGGAGAAAAGATGGTGGCTCCTTGAGGTTGAGAGGAGAGAAGGCTCTGCTGGAAGATTCTTCCGCATCCTATGTCACAGGCAGACATGTGCACCCCCTTTCCCCATGAGTGGATTCAAGCGTTGCCACAGACATGTTCCTGTTACTCAGGCCCTCAGAGCCACCTCGGGTCTTGCTCTAGCACTTAGATATCACACACATGCAGCAGCCTTAGGCCCGGCTCCCACAGCTGTGCACAAGGTGCATCCAGCTGTGTCAGGCCCAGCCGTAGGCGCTGGGAGCACCAGGCTGATGCAGATGCAGCATGTGTCCATGCTCAGGGGGGTCAGGGAGGGTCTCCCTGTGGAAGCAAATCATGAGGAACAGCAAGTGCAAAGGCCCAGGGGTGGAATCCTCCCCTGCCATCAGTCATCGGAGGAACAGCAAAGAGATCCAGGTCGCTGGAGGGGAGGGCAGACCTCAAGGGCCTTGGAGGTGGGGGCTGCTCTCAGGGCAGGCCTGCTGGCATGTCTCCCCTAGCACCCGGGCGGCTCAGGCGCAGAGAAGAGCGAGCTCCAGGCCTACATCGAGCAGTGCCAGGACAGCCCCACCTCGGGCAAGTTCCGCCGGGGGAGCGGCTCTGCCTGCAGCCTCCTCTGCTGCTGTGGCAGGTTCGAGTCCAAGTCCGGGTCTGTTCCAGGATGGGGGCTGGGGAAAGGGGGGGTGCCAGAGAGAACTGATGGCCCTGTTCCTTGTTTTCTGCCTCCAGGGACTCCTCGGAAGAGCATTCGCTGCTGGTGAATTGACTCCACCACGACTGCCACTGGACCTTAGCCCCCGGACTGCGGGACCCCTGCTTATTTATTTTTAGGGTTTGCGTTGAAGGATCGGCTCCCTGCCATGCCCTGGGGAGGGCCTAGGCCAGTCGGGTCGGACCCTTGGGGACCGGGTAGGGGGACAGGGATGGGGTGGGTGTTAAATAAAAGGGAAAATAAACGTGTGGTTCTCATGTCTAGCGGGAGGGGCCGTCCTTGCGCCAACAGGGCTGTGACCCCTTTAAGGTGCCGCCACACTCCGCATGGCAGGCTCCGCGAGACCTTCCCAGCATGGCGGGGGGCGGGGCTACGGCGCGCCCTGCGGTGAATAATTTAAAGGGGCCGCGCCCGCGGAGCCGGGCGGAACGCTGGCGGTGTTGGCGCAGAGTGGATCCCGGCTGCGGCCCCTGGGTGAGTCTGGGTTTCTGTCGGCCCCGTAGGGGCTTGCCTTTGGGGATCGTTAGCGAGCCTCGGTTTTCCCACGATCTGTCCTCCACCAATTCCCGGTAACTCTCGACTTTCTGATGCTCCCATCCCCCCCCACCCCCCAGTCCCCTGCAGGTGTTTCTGTACTGGTAGCCAGGTGCGCCTTGGGGTGGAAGGGGACCAGTCACCCAGGAATTCTCCAAGTAACGTCTCAATAGCGCAGTGATCCCCCCACCCCCCGAATTTCCATCAATGCTCTAGAGGCGTCAGAAACATCTTCAGCTTCACGGAAAAGTGCCAGTAATATTCCAGCATTCCTCTGTGTCTTCCTAGGAGCCTAAACGCCCTCCCCAGGCCCATTCTTATACTCGGACGCCCCAAGGGATGTGCCCACCCAGCTCCTGGTTTTCCCAGCAGTAGTCCTGTATGCCTCAGAATCTCTCAGTAACTTTCCAGTGCCCCCCAGTAATTCCAGCGTCCCTGGTTACGCCTCCCAGCAAAGGCGCCGTCACAGTTCCCCAGAGTCCCAGTGATGCTCCGCACCGTCAGAGACCCCATAACTTTACTGTTATGTGATAGTAAACCCTGAGCATAAACCATTAACACCGTGCGAGCCCACACCACTTTCAGCATCCCTGACATTGTTGTCTTGACTCCTCCAAGACATCGGTATCACCCCAGGACCACTCCTTTGGAGCCTCAGTGCGCCCCGGCTCCCAGGTCTTCCCGTGGGCATGCTTAGGTCGGGAGCTGGGTGGATACCAGCTGTTCCCCCCAACCCCGACCCCTTGGCTGCAGGCTCCAGTTTTCCTGGGGTGGGGCATCCAGTCTTCGCAGGGGGTAGGGGGTGTGGCCTAGGGGGTCAGTTGGTCAGGATTGATCAATCCCGCAGAGGACAGAGGCCGGGGAGGGGGCCACCAGCCGGAGGGGGCCGCGCCTTGCGGGGGACCTGCCTTCGGGCTGCTCACAGTGGGTGCCAGGTTGGCTACCCTTTGGCCTCAGGGTGGGGCTGGATGGGCGGAACTACGTCTGGTCGACCCTCTGCGTAGGCGAAGGGAGTCAGGCGGGGAGCCGGGGACACATCTCAGCCCCTGGACAGGGCCGGTAGGTCAATTTGCCCCATCCCTCCGTCCCACAGAGACCCTCCAGCTGCTGCCCTGGCAGGTGGAGAAGCTGCCCAGGCCACAGTTCTCCGGGGGCGGGCCTTGCGCTGGGTGGGGGCGGGCCCAGATTGGCGACTTGCACGGGTTCCTTCCGCTCCTTGATTCCCCAGGACTCCGGGCTACCAGATCTGCCGCCCCGCCTGAAGCAGCCGATGGAGGCCCCGCTGCAAACAGGAATGGTAAGGGGAGGGGTGGTGCGGTGCCGTGGCGGCGACTACAACTCCCGGCATGCTCAGCGCTCACTGTCGCGGTCTCGAGAGAACAAGGCTGCGTCTGTTCGGGCGGAACTACGTTTCCCGGCGTGCATTGCGGGCTACCGACCCACAGGGGTAGAGTAGCGCCCCCGGGGAGGGAGCCACGCTGGCCCATTCTGCAGATGGGGACACCGAGGACCGGGCTGGCTACGAACTCCTCGGGGGCGAAGGTGACGGAGAGGGATGGGGCCCGGGACGTCCCGGCCCTCGGGGAGGTCTCGGCGGGACGGGCGTGCGGTGCACAGCCAGTGCCGTTCGTCCCACAGGTGCTGGGCGTGATGATCGGGGCAGGAGTGGCGGTGCTGGTCACCGCCGTGCTCATTCTCCTGGTGGTGCGGAGGCTGCGAGTGCCGAGTGAGGATCCGGAGGGCCCTCTCGGGAGGCTGTGGGGTGGGGAGACGAAATGGCCGGGGTCTCCAAGGCGGTAGAGATGGGGATTTGCGGCGTGGAGTCTGCGCAGAGCTCGGAGTGCCCCTCTCCCCACCTCTCCCCAGAAACTCCTGCCCCGGAGGGCCCCCGGTATCGGTTCCGGAAGAGGGACAAAGTGCTTTTCTATGGCCGGAAGATTATGCGGAAGGTGAGTCCAGGACCTCCTGGGGTCCGCGCTGAGCACATAGAGACCCCGCCCCTTTCCTATTTACATTTCTTAGTGTACACCACCACCCCCTCCTTGATGAAGGGCCCCTGAATCTGGTCCCCGCTCCCTCCAGGGTCTGAATTGCCAACTGACCCTTCTCCTTCATTCTCCCAGGTGTCACAATCCACTTCCTCCCTGGTGGATGCCTCTGTCTCCACCACTTCTCGGCCACGCATGAAGAAGAAACTTAAGATGCTCAACATTGCCAAGAAGTAAGGCTGTGCTGGGATTACCTGGTGCTGGGGGCTATCTCAGGGGCCTTTTTGTGGGATCAACCCACACCAAAGTTTGGACCCCACAGACTCTCTTAGGAGCCTTCCCACATCAGAGGGACACCTCAGGGCTGTCCTCTGAGGGGCTGTCTCGGAGCTTTTGCACACCAAACAGGCCATCTCTAAGGCCTCTGTCCCCTGAGGGCTATCTCAGGCATGTTTCCCTCTGCAGGGTATTTCTGAGCTATTTGTTTCTCAGCCAGTATCTCAATGGGCTGGCCATATATTTAGGGGGTGTATATCTGGGATCTCTGTCTAGGTTATTTTCTAGGTCTCCCAACATGAGACGGTTTATTCCAGGTGCCTCGCTGGTGTTATCTCAGGTATTTCTGTGACCTTCTGGAGGGGCTATCTCCAGCCTGTCTTCTCCAGGAGTTATCTCTCTACATCAGAAAGCTTCTTCTCTCTGTCACTGACCTTGGAATTCTTCCCACACTGAGAGGGCTGTCTCAGGGGTTTCCCCTAGAGCTATCTCAAGAACCTTCTTACACTAGAAACACGGGAAGGACATCTCCAGTGTCCCTCTCAGCAGCAAGGGGCTATCTCAGGTCTGTGAGAAGGACACTCCCAGGGATCTTTGTAGGTTGGGAGCTGGCTCTGGAATCTCCTTGTATCCTGGGGTCTATCTGAAGGTCTATCTCAAGGTCATTACAAGATACTCTATGAACAACAGTCATGCTTTGGCAGGACTTCCTGTGACTTGAGTAGAAGAGCCCTCTCTAGCTTCCCCAACATCAGTTGAGGGTCTGTATCTCAGGTTTATCTACATCACAGGGGCTGTCTGCAGTGTCTGAACACCCCTGAGGAACCTCCCTGTTGTGTTCATGACTGTCAGAGAACTATCTCAGAACTCTCTGTGACCTGGGGAAGGGCTAGCCCAAGATCTTGCTGATCAGAAGAGGCATTATATCTGGAGTCTTCTGTATCACTGGGTTTAACTCGGGGTCTGCTCACACTGTCAGGGCTAGCTCAGAGTCTCGTGCCAGTGGAGGGGCTGTCTCAGCAGTCACGGTGACCTGTCAAGAAGGGCTCACCCAGGCCCATGATCAGCAGAGCGGGTGCATCTGGATTCTCTACATGTAATGAGGGCTGTCTCAGGGAACTCTGCAGCCTTAGAGAGACTGTCTCAAGGTTCTCTGAGACCTGAGAGGAAGGGCTATCTCAGGAATCTTTACGAAGAACAGAGAGGCTCTATCTGAGGTCTTCTCATGTAGCAGAAGCTACCTCTAAGGCACACCCACATTAGGGAGGTTTTCTTGGGAACCTAGTCAGTGATTCCTGGGAGGGCTGTTCTGGGGCTCCCGTGACAAGCAGTGGTACTATTTCTGGGGTCTGCCTTTATCTTAGAAACTACATCAGGGGTCTCCCTAACCAAAGGGTCCATCTCAGGGGCCTCTGACTAGTGGAGGGGCAATCTCAGGACTTTTTGAGCGAGGTCATAAATTTTTTCCATACAGGGCCAGATAGTAAACGTTTTAGGCTTTGCATGTCACGTGCAGCCTCTGTTGCAACTCTACAATTCTGCCAACATAGCATGAAAACAGCTACAGATGATATGGGAATGAATGAATGTAGCCGTGAGCCAATAAAACTATATTTACAAAAATAGGTGGCGGGCCTGATTTGGCCAGCAGGCTAGAGTTTGCTGTATGTGAACAGGGGGAAGGGCTGTGTGGGGGTCTCAGGTTTCCCTGAACCCCCTCCCTGTCCCCCCCTCCTCCCACCAGGATCTTGCGCATCCAGAAAGAGGCTCCCACGCTGCAGCGAAAGGAGCCCCCACCCGCGGTACTGGAGGCTGACCTGACAGAGGGTGACCTGGCCAACTCCCACCTGCCCTCCGAGGTCCTCTACATGCTCAAGAATGTCCGGTCAGTGTCAGGGGTGCAGGTGTGGGGGGTCCACGGAGCTGGGGTCCCCCCTGACCTCCTGCATTGCTCCCCCACTGCCCATCCACCAGGGTTCTGGGCCACTTTGAAAAGCCGCTCTTCCTGGAGCTCTGCCGCCACATGGTCTTCCAGCGACTCAGCCAGGGTGACTACGTTTTCCGGCCGGGTCAGCCGGATGCCAGCATCTACGTGGTGCAGGACGGGCTGCTGGAACTCTGCCTGCCGGGTCCCGTGAGTGGACAGCCCCAGGGGCCACTGTGGGGAGATGGGCAGTGGGGATGGTCAGCAGGACAGCATCCCTGGGGACAGCCCTGCTGTTGGGCAGTAGGGCTGGGGGTCTTTGGGGACGTGTACTCAGGAGTCAGGGGAATGGATGACCGGGGGCGTTTGGGGTGGTCTACAAAGTTGCTCAGCGGTCACTGTTAGTGAAGGACGGGGGGTGGCTGCTGGTCGGGAGGCTTGGTGGGCGCAGGGATGGGAAAGCATCAGTGGTCATTGGAGTGGGTGAGGCTGAGGACCAGTGACATGGTCAGAGGACAGGAGGGCGGTCACCAGGA